TCTATGTATTATTTTAAATATCTACATAAGTAAATATTTAATTGTAAAATTTAAATAAAGAACTTGCAGCGAAGTTTAATATAATACAGTTTAATATATTAAAACCGTTCAACGACTAAATTACCTTTATATTAAGGTTTAAACATCCAATAATACTTTAATGCTTAAAGTGTTAAAGACATAGTCTGAACAATATAGAAATATATTGAAATATTAATAATTATTATTATTATTAATAATTAACAATCTTGACCATATTGGTACAAATCTTATTTAACTGTTAAATGAGTAGTGTTACTTTCTTATTTATTCTTGTATGTGCTATAGTTATTAATTATATTTAGGGATCTCTACGATAGTTTGTTAAACTTATTTTAATGTAAAATAAATAATTAATATTAATATAAGAAGCACTTGTCTTTTATATAAAAGACTATTATAATATTATATAATACGATTTATAAAAGTATTTATAATAACCACTTTATATTAAATAAACGTGTAATATTAGGTTCTATAGCTACTATATCTTTTATTAAATGCTTTAGTTTAAGTAAATCTTTTAATTTTATTAGACCTTTAATAAATAACCCTAAGTCTTTAACGTTAGAGCATATAAATAGTAAAAAACCTACTACTTTATTAGCTATTAATAAAGTATTATTAAATTAAAATATATTAGTTATTAAATTAAAATTAGAAGAATTATTAAAAGTTAATTTTAATATATACTTCTTTAGAATTAAAGGATAAATTTATGTTATTAAGTTTTAGAGTTTCTTAATATAATAAAGATGAATAATTATTAAAATCTTTTATTAATTATTTTAGTTATAGAAACTTTAATTATTATAATAAAGAGAAAAAAGCTATTATTTTTATTGTTAGAAAATTTATAGACATTAATTCTAAGATTATTTCTTTCTTTAATAAATATAAAATTATAGGTGTTAAAAATAAAGATTTTATAGACTAATTTAAAGCAGTTTAAATAATAGAATCAAAAAATCATTTAATATTAAAAGGACATAAAAGAATATGTAAACTAAAAGAAAATATAAACTCTTATAGAGTTTAATAAATATAATTTATGGATTACCTCTTAATATAATATACAGATTATATATTATAACTTAAAAATTAGATAAATTGTAAGAAGATTTATTAGTAAAATTTAAATAAAGAACTTGCAGCGAAGTTTAATATAATACAGTTTAATATATTAAAACCGTTCAACGACTAAATTACCTTATTAATAATTAATAATCTTAACTATATTAGTATAAATCTTATTTAACTGTTAAATAAGTAGTATTACTTTCTTATTTATTCTTATATATGCTATAGCTATATTATTCTTAGTACTTAATTTTATATTAGTACCTTATAATTCTTATTAAGAAAAGTATAGTATATTTAAGTGTGGTTTTTATAGTTTCTTAGAATAAAATAGAGCTTAATTTAAAGTTAAATTCTTTATATTTACATTAATATATCTAGTATTAGATTTAGAATTACTAGTAATATACCTATTTAAAATAAGTGGATATAAAAACGGTGTATATAGTTTAATTATAGTATTATTATTTATAGGTATTATTACTATTAGATTCGTATTTAAATTAGGTAAAGGTGCCTTAAAAATAAATAGTAAATAATTATACTATTATTTTTCTTAACAAATATTATATTATAATTATTAAAAATATTAGGAGTAAAATTAGCTATAGTAGGTGTAATAGAAGCTAGAGTTAAAATTAAAGTAGTATTTAAATATTTAATCTTAGGTGTTACTAGAAACCCTTTATTAAAAAACCAATTATTCACTTACTTAATATTAGGATTCGCTTTCTTAGAAGCTATAGCGTTAAGCGAATATGTAAATTTGCAGCGAAGTTTAATATAATACAGTTTAATATATTAAAACCGTTCAACGACTAGTAGATGAGAAATGTATTAACAATAATTCTACCTAGAGCGCCCTCATATCTTATAATTTATAAGGTATATGACATAGTCTAAATAAGAAAGAGATTTCTTATAAGTATAAAGTATTAATTAAAATATATAAAATATCCTTTTTATATAATAGTATCTTAGGTAATGGTAGGTGGTCCTGATATGGCAAAACAAGGATCACCCGTTGAAAAATTTACAGTAAAGAAAATAATGGGCAAAAGAAATTCATCAAAAAAACCTAAAAATAGAAATATATGAAGTTATATATTATTAGGCATAATCTTATTTATATCAATTATTATTATATATAAATATGGTTTGTTCTATTTTTTACAAGAAAGTTTGTTAATAGCGTTTTTTTATTTATTAACTTTATTTATACTAGATGGATTTAAGTTTTCAAAAAATAAAAATACACAATATTTACAAATTGTATTATTTAGTATATTTATTTTTTATTTATTTTATTGATTTTATCAAAATTCTTTAGTATTACCTAAATTAAATATAAACATATATTTTATAAGTATTTATAAGATACTTATTTTTTTTAAGTTACTTATAATATACTTAAATTACTTATATAATAAAATAAGTAACTTATAAATAACCTAAGAAAAACTTAAATACCTATAAGTACTTATAAGTACCCGTTTTTACACTCTATATAGGAGCACGTACGTAAAAGAAGTAGTAGACTCCCAATAAAGGTAGCATTCTCATGTCCAGCTTCCGAACGAGGCGCCTCTCGGCAGCTTTGTCGATAGAATCATCGTTGGGGTACCGTTCCAAAGCTTCGATGTATAAACTCGCATCAGGATGGTTGACTGCTTCCACCTCCGGAATTTTGAGTTCATGTTCGAGATTATCTCCATCATTGTCGAGCTGCTTAGGTCTTTCGGCATCCATCGTCTGGGCCCTGCAGTGGTAGACGTTTAAAGTCGCCCCAGAAGACATCCCCATGGTATTGACTGCCATGAGGTCGGCGCACATTTATACATCTGCGATGTCCAAGACATCTGTCGGGTAATGAAAACGACGGGGCCGACGTCTGAATCCCCAGCACAGTTCCCGGCCTTGTTCCCGAAACGTGGGGATCCCCAGATTCCCGACGTGCCACTGGCAAGGCGTAAGGCTGGTGGAAGTCTCAAAAACTTTTGCTCTTGCCACTCGTAGTTTGAGCCACGTCTTCCGCAATAAAGCCAATGGTGGCTGGGCTAAGTATGCAGCAGGCAAAGTTATCATGCCCAACGGCTGTTGCTATTCATTGGTTGTGGCGAAATCACGGGCTGATTTCCCAGACGTCATTGACTCTTCTTCTTCTGGCATTGTAGCTCGAGGGCGGCATGGGCTTGCGACAAGACCAGTAGCCGACTGTTGATGTTGTTCAGATTTTAGATTCAGGCATGAGTTGAAAGAGCAAGTTTGATAGCGTGCTAGAAAAAATTCAAACTTTTGCTTTGCGAATTGCGGCAGGAGTTGATCTTTCCTTACCCTAGATGTCAAGTCATGCTGGTTACGACTATGGTTGGCCTTCTCATCCCTTAAAAAACAGATTATGCGGCAAAAAGATAGCCCCCCGCCACTTGTGCATTCGTCCGTATCATGGAGCACCATGACTTTGCTGCCAGCGCGTAGAATGGTTGGTGATTGTGGTGCGAATGGCGGCAACTTATACACCGGTCGAGAACCACAGCAAACCCTAACCCTGGTTACCTGTTGACGAATGTGGGCAGCACCATAGAGCAATTGCCCAGCAATCATCGCAGCGCGCTCAATTTTCGCTACACACTGCCAGTCGGCAGAACAGACCGGCCGTCGGAGAAGAGGCTGCCGCGTTTTGAGCGGAGTTTGCTGCATGAGCCGTGCATATGTGCCGGACAATAGCACAATGAGGTACTAGATGCAACCTTGGGCTGGTGACTATCGATGCCCTTTGTCCTCGTGGCCCTGTAAGCGAAGTTGCTTCTGGGCTTCGCTTCCATGCTCTCATGCTGCCCTCAGTGCGAGGAAGCCCTATCCCACCTTTTCTATTGGAGCCAAGTTTGAGTGGCTGGCAGGTCTTGGCCAGAATGATGTGAGGTTATTGCTTGCTTGTTCCAACGCCACCATGTGCATCGGCATCTTTCAAATCCGTAAAGCTGTTTTCTCTCTCTTTGCTGAAGCTGCTCCGCGTACAGCAGCAACTCAATGTTTGCCGCAAGTTGGCATACACACATACATGTATAAGACGCCTGGGATGTTAGTTATATAGCTTGGTTCCCAGAAAAGAGGCAACATGGCTGGGAGCTTAAACGTAGCATTCGGTTGGAACCCTCGGAACCCCTAGAAGTTAGAGTCCCATGGCTGATAGTGAACCGCAGCGGATTTTTAGCCTTTCGGATGCAGCCAGATCCGGCCCAACGTCAATGCCAAGTGTTGCTGGGCTTCTAGCCGAGATTCCCTCTGTCGAAGGGCTTTTTGCCAGTGTCTCCGGAGTCGAACAAAGTCGCAGGGGCGGGTCCCGGGTCTTGTTGGCTATCCTGGCAACCATCCAGATCCTGGACATAACTCAAGGGGGGTTTTTTGTAATGACTGACGGAGAAGTGGACCAAGTCTAGCAACACCTCCAGATTTGCCTTTGGCCGTGTAACTACGTAGTTGCTTCGTAACTACTTCGCACCGTGGCCAATTTAATTGACAAACCCTTGTATACCCATGCTGTACGACGAGGCAACATGTAAAAACATGTAGAAACCGACCACACATGTCTTATCACCCTAACGGAGTCGGTCAGCCGTCGTCACACTTCTACTGGGAACGATGCCGGCGGAGTTTGTTGGCCCTTGGGTTCCCAAAACGGAATATCCGACCAAACTAAAGAAATTGACCATCGTTAGCAAAGGCCTTCGACCTGTCCCTGGACCAACGTGTCTTCGACTTGCCATCTAGCATAGAACTTTTGGCTGTTGCGATACAAGTTGCCTCATAGCATGTTGAAGTAAATTGCTCACCAAATAGCAGCAACGCCGCGCAGACGGCGGCCTCGAAATTAGCTAGCCATGGCTTCTGCCAGCTTTGACTATCTGCCAGACAGCATGTCGACCACGTCTGACGCGGAGAAAGCAGAAAAACCAGCATCTGTGGATACGGCTTCAATCCATAAGAAAGAGGACGTTGGCGTTGATGAGAGACGCTTTTCAGTATCTGGCGCAGGCAACCTGTCTCTTGACGATGTCGCCGCCGTGGACGTCCGGATTCGAGACCTTTCCGTGTCGGTCAACACAGCGCCGTCGTGGCTCGAACCGGCTACATACCAGGACTTGTTCCATGCCAAGTTCAACACCACGCCGCGTATTAAGCATCTTCTCGAATCTGTTGCTGCGCATCTACAACCGGGAACGCTAACAGCCATCATCGGCGGAAGTGGTTCCGGAAAGACGACGCTGCTCAACACCATGGCCGAGCGCATCATCAGCCCAAGACTAACTCAGAAGGGCCATGTGGTGTTTAACAGTCAGACAGGCGTCCATAACATTCGCCACGCCTACGTCATGCAGCAGGACACTCTACTCCCGACCTTGACGGTGCGAGAGACTCTCCATTATTCTGCGGCGCTACGGCTTCCCTCGACCACGTCTGCTGAGGATCGACATCGTGTTGTTGAAGAGGTCATTCGCGAACTGGGACTCAAGGAATGCGCAAATACCAGAATTGGCAACAGTCAACACCGTGGGTGCTCTGGAGGAGAGAAGAGACGGGTCAGCATTGGTGTGCAACTCCTCGCTAATCCCTCTGTTCTATTCTTGGATGAACCGACGACCGGACTTGATGCTACAAGCGCCTTTCAACTTGTGCGGACTCTAAAGGCCCTTGCTCAAAAAGGCCGAACAGTGATTACAACCATTCACCAACCTCGCTCTGAGATTTGGAACCTGTTTGACAACTTGGTGGTATTGTCCAAGGGTGGTCCGGTATACGCAGGTCCTATCCCGGACTGTCTTCCCTGGTTCAAGGGCCAGGGGTTCCCGTTGCCGCCTTTCGTCAACCCCGCCGAGTTTATCATTGACATTGCAGCTGTAGATAACCGGACTCCCGAGCTTGAAGCTGATACTAGTGCCAGAGTTCGTGACCTCAAGGCAGCCTGGGCAGAAGAGAGCGCCAAACGCTACCCGCCACTCCTCCAAGTTGTCGACAACAAGAACCGTAAACAAAGCTCAATTGCGAAAACCCATGCGAGCTTCTTCCGCCAACTGCAAGTCTTGACGGACCGTACCCTCAAGGTGACGTACCGTGACCCGTTGGGCATGGCAGCTGCAATAATCGAAGCAGTGCTCATGGGGATTGTTACGGGGTACATTTTCTTCGATCTCGGCCGTGACCAGGCCGGAATTCGATCTAGGGAGGGAGGTCTCTATACGGCGGCCGGTCTGCAGGGATATTTGATACTTCTCTTCGAGGTGTACCGCATGACCATCGACATCCCAATATTCGACAGAGAGTCATCAGACAATTGTGTCGACTCCTTGCCATATGTTCTCTCGAGGCGACTGGCCAGACTGCCCACCGAGGATCTTCCGGTGCCGTTTCTCTTTTCCGTGCTGGTATACTTCATGGCTGGATTTGAGCGGACAGTGAGCAAGTTCTTTGTATTCTTTGCAATCACCCTTGCCAACCACTTTGTGTCTGTTTGTTGTGCAATGACCTGCGTCGTGGCAGTCAGACACTTTGCCGGCGCGAGTCTGATTGCTAATCTTGCCTACACGATTCAAAGTATTGCTTGTGGAATGTTTGTTCAGGTGAACACCATGCCCGTCTATGTCAGATGGATCAAGTGGATAGCCTACAATGTGAGTCTTGGCCGTCGTTGCGTCACCACATTCAGCTAACTGTTGCCACAGTTCTACGCTTTCAGCGCATACGCAGGAAACGAATTTGAGGGCAATTTCTATGACTGCCCCCTCCCAGGGGGTCAATCGAACCCAGCTTGTAACCAGTACAGCGGTGACTATGTGATGGCATCGCTTGGGTTCCCTGGCCACTGGGTAGCTCGACCCATCATCATTCTCACGTCCTTTATAGTCTTCTTTATCAGCCTATCCGTCTTCGGACTGCACTTCCGAAAAGTCGAAATCACTATTGCCCGCGCACGTTCACCAGACACGGACTTGTCCGCCGGCAAAGAGAAAATGACAGCCCAGTCTATTTCAGAAGTCCGAGCCATTGACCTGGGCCTCGACAGCTTTGCCCTGAGCCTCGACAAGAGAAACATGTACGGCAAGAAGCTACCCCGAAGGACAATCTTAAATCCGGTCTCAACCACGTTCAAGGCAGGCGTGTTGAACGTCATCATGGGTCCATCGGGAAGTGGCAAGACATCGCTTCTCAACGCCATGGCGCTGCGACTGCGAAACTCGGTCGGAACCAAATACCGGCCGTCTGGAAGATTGACCTTCAACAGCGCCGTGCCTTCCGACTCGGTCATTCGATCAGTCTGTTCCTACGTCTGCCAAGATGATGACGCTCTGCTTCCGTCCCTGACGGTACGCGAGACCTTGCGATTTGCTGCCGGACTCCGGCTCCCTTCGTTTATGAGCACCGAGGAGAAATACCGTTGCGCCGAAGACGTGCTTATGAAAATGGGCCTCAAGGACTGCGCCAACGATTTGATTGGCAGCGACATGATCAAGGGCATTTCAGGCGGTGAAAAGCGCCGTGTCTCCATTGCTGTACAAGTTCTCACGGATCCTCGAATTTTGCTTCTCGACGAGCCAACTTCTGGCTTGGACGCTTTTACCGCAAGTTCCATCATGGAAGTGCTGCAAGGGTTGGCGAACGAGGGGCGGACGCTCATCTTGACTATACATCAAGCCCGATCGGATCTATTCAAACACTTTGGGAATGTGCTTCTTCTTGCGAGGGGAGGGTTCCCGGTATATGCGGGCCCCGCGAAGCAAATGCTGGGATACTTTGGCAAACATGGATACGATTGCCCCCAGCACACGAATCCGGCCGACTTTGCGCTCGATATGATTACTATAGATCTTCAACAAGATGATCGCGAAGCAGAGAGTCGGGCGCGAGTACAGACGTTAATAGAACACTGGGGCACTGGTGGACCGGATGAACTGGACAGCACGGTGAACCGGCGGTTATCTGAAATCCAAGAGGCAGATGAGCCAAGTGAGAAGCCATCCGAGCTTCCCGTCCAGAATGTGAATGGCGAAGAGAAAAAGCCAACGACGAAAAGTATCTTGGCCACCGCGGGAGAGGGCCAAACATCTAGTGGCTCGCAGGCACCACCGACTCGACGGTCTTTCAACAAGGCCAAGGTATCTACGCCTGCGGAATTAGGAGCCCTCGTGCGCAAACGTGCATCAATCTTCATAGCACTGCCACTTCTGCTTCGGCGAGCCGTCATCAACACTCGCAGACAGCCGCAGCTCATCATGGCACGCACCATGCAGGTTGTCGGGCTCGCAGCCGTCTTCACGCTCTTCTTTGCACCGGTAGGCAACGATTACTACGCCATTCAAAACCGCATGGGCTTCGTCCAGCAGATAGGAGCATTTTACTTTGTCGGCATGCTGCAAAATGTCGCCGTGTATCCGAATGAGCGAGACGTCTTTTACCGCGAGGATGACGACGGCGTGTATAGCGTCGAGGCCTTCCTCGCCTCATACACATTAATCGAAGTGCCCTTCGAAATCATCAGCTGTCTTCTATTTGGCGTCTTGGGCGCCTTTGCAATTGGACTTCCGAGAACAGTTACCATGTACTTCGTCTGCGTCTTCGCCTGCTTCGGCGTGGTGTCTTGTGGAGAGAGCCTGGGAGTCATGTTCAATACCCTTTTCGCTCATACAGGCTTCGCGGTCAACATCATGGGCATCTTGCTCTCTGTGGCAAACTCCATGTCCGGAGTGCTTTCCATCAACATGCCGGACTTGTTCAAGGCGGTCAATTACCTGTCCCCCATTCGGTACGCGACCCGGTCCGTCGCTCCGTACTCGTTGCGAGATATCAAATTTACATGCAATAGTGCGCAGCGGCTTCCAGACGGAAGCTGTCCCATTGAGACGGGTGAAGAGGTGCTGGATTTGTACAACTTTAATGTCGACCCTGTTGTCAATGTTGCGTGTATGGCGGCGTGTATTGTGGCATACAGGCTCACAGCTTGGGCACTGTTGAAACTTATGAGGGCGCGCTGGGCGGATAGAAAGAGGCGAGAGAGCAGTGAAATTAAACCGTGAAACCGTAGCGAGGCTCAGAGGTTCGAGGGGTATTTAGCATTCTGACAAAATTAATTAGTAGATGAGAGCAGCTTTGGAAGGAAGCATTTCTAGGACACTGATGATGAGTTGCTCAGCTGCCACAAGAGAAATCGTCTCACAGTACCAAATCTCACAGTCGATACCATTCCGGCGCAGTAAATCTTTGATGTGGTCATGTCTCCTAGTGCCGCATTTTGGGGTAAGTAAAAAATTGTTTTGTGACCATCAGATACACACTTGGAACCCTTGGGGTGGAAGTGCGAACTAACGTAGTAGTAAACCGGTTGCACCATCATCGCCCTCTGAATATCATTCAACAAAAAAGATCCAGCATTTCGCTGCGAGAAAATTTTTTTTACTCATTGCCGTCTCACTCAGCCGAGTTGGCATCTCGAGAGTCTCAAGTGCCAATATTGCTTGGTACTCATCTGTTTGTCGCTGGTCGCTGACAGTCAACTGGCCGACAACCGGCAAGACAGTGCACATGTCAACTGGCGGGGTCATTCGCTGTTGTTATGCAATTAAACATGGAATCCATGGTCAAGGGCTACAAATATAGAATCATACTGCCCGGAAGCACCTTCTTTCTTCTTGGCCCGCCGTGTGGAAGGATGCTACTGATCTCTTGCACCATTAACCATTCATGACTTGAACATCTCGGCGACAACATGACGAGGTAGCTGCGTTCGACGGTGGCTTCGGCTGCTTATGACCTGTCCATTTGATGCACAAATTCAAGGTATAATCATCGTAGCCTGATGTGCGCATTGGAAGCCTCTCGACTTGCACTTATGGCCAGACGCTTTCTCGGAATAGCCCACGAGCCGCTTCAGTTTACACTCCCAACGCTTCGGCGCTGCCGGACATTATCTATAATCAGCGAAGCGGTCACTGTCAAATTCACAAGTAGCAACCCGAGCAGTAATTGCACATCCTACGCCTGGTCTATCATGAATTCGTGACCGTAAGGAGGGAGTGGTCAGGATGAAAAAAATGTCCAATTGCTTTCCTATTCCAGTATCTCCGATGCAATGCGCTGCCAGTTACCATAAAACCAAAAAGAATAATAATATACCCTGGCGTTACCGCACCGAATTTCATAAGAGCTGTTACGCTGTATCCATATCATAACGCAGCTGTTGTATGTACAAAACCAGTGCCGCACATGAAGCATGTGCTTACCTGCCTTGGAGACACTCCCGAAAACTGGGGTGCTGTCCGTCGCTTCCCGCGGCAGAGTAGAGCTTGGTGCAATCAACATCCATTGTGATGAATCCACGACACAAAATCCCCGCAGTTTTATCATACCACGTATTCAACATCCTCCGCTGGTCTCCGTCTTGAAACAGTTTGTGCAAAATCCACGCCTATGCAGTCGTCGGTCTATTCATCAGTTGCGCAGTCAACATCACGAGCCATCCTCATCTGATGCCATAATTCCCGCCCTCAAAAGAACAACGCCATCCTGGCATCTTGGAAAATATGCCTATATGCAAATTCCCTCCTCGTGTGAGAAACAGGGCAATTCGATTCTGTTTATGAGAAGCGAAGTAATGCAACATACTCCGTCACATTTTGTGTCGTCTAAAGTGTCCAAGAAAAAAAGCGGAGAAAAAAATTCCCTCCAGAAATACCGGATGCTGAAAGCCCGGGTGCAGCATCAATTTCGATTTCATAATCTATTCGGGGTCGGGATTCGTGGTTCTTAACACCTTTGGTTGCTGGATCCTTCTGGAGTAGTCATGGTCGTCGCGCAGTGTGTTGACACTTTCTCGGCTGCCGCTGCGTGCGTATAGACTCTGTTGGAAAGGGTCCATGCGAGGGTCAATTTGCAAGGTGCTGCTCCTATTGCCGGTACTACCCGGTGAGCCAGGGGCACGCGACATTTCCGGACGGCCAGAGCCCATCATCCCCGAGGAGCTACCACGTATGCTTGGGTCGTCTTGATAGTCGTTTTCTTGTTGTTGCTTCTTTCGTCGGAGGTAGAACAGTATAATGAGACCGGCCAAAACTAAAATTCCGCCGACAACACCAACTACGATTCCAACGATGCCGCCGGTATTCAATCCGCTGTCCTGGACCGAGCCGCCTTGGTTATCGCCAGAGGTATGTCCAGTTGCTGTAGGTACTATTGTGACCGTCTTGACTGTCCCGTCGGCGGTCAATGTAGATATGGCCGAAGTTGGCTTGGACGTAGCTTCGGTCGACTGGGAGGGGGTCAGTATCATCGATTGCGTCGTGGGAGTTCTTGGCGAACTCGAGGTCTAGGGAATATGCCGTTAGGGTTAGGAAATATTGCGGGTAAGAGGGGGATGATGCGGCGTGTGGTCGGGGGCATGCAGTTATGATGGGGAGGGGGGATAAAACCCTACAGTGGAAGAAATGCTGCTACTGCTGCTGCTACTGCTGCTGCTACTGCTACTGCTGCTACTACTACTGCTACTACTACTACTCGACGTCATGGGCGAAGAGCTAGGAGTAGAAGTAGATGATGGTTTGCCCTGCCCGGTCTCAGTCACCAATACCATCAACTTTGTCTGAAAACCAGACACAAATGCGGATTTGCCTTGCCAAAAACGCCAGATGCAATATGACGAAATTTGCAAGGACATGAAAGGACAAGAACCAACATTTGATTAATGGCATGAAGGACTGCGAGAAACATGGACAAGGTATTGCAAAAGGTCGCTCGCCGTCGGGTAAATGACAGGATCATGACAAGTAGAGATGACTTGAATGACGACAGAAGGGTGCAGAAAGCGGTCGTGATATTGAAATGGAATAGGCGCGGACGAAAGGGAAACACACAAACATGCAAGACAATGAATAGATACTGGGGAACTTACCTCGCTTGTAGTACTAGAATCTGATCCTTTGGTGCCTGAAGGCTGAGCAACATTGAGAAACACATAGCCGTACACACCGGCACCACCACACTTTTCGTCCGGGTAGCCAGGGCAGCTCATGCTGCACTTGGACGTTGCGACCTGTGCTGACTTTGCGGGTGTGTAGTTGGAACACCAGCAGCTGTTGGATTGTGTGATGGCATAGGCGAAATCCTTTGGTGTACAGTAATCATGGCAAAGCCCATTTGTCTGGAAAATGCTGAGGTCTAGCTCGGGTTAGTCTTGTTATGCCGGCTTCGGGTTGAATGAGGTGAATGAAACGTACTCCTATTCATGTCGGCAGTGTTGAGACTTGCACAAATATCGACGTCAATCGCATCGGCGAGACTAACCAGAGAGGCAGTCATGAGCAGCAGGCGAGCCACGCCGCGGGCGCCTGTCAAGTTGGGAGACGGCATTGTGACACAATTTTGCGACTAAGCAACGATAGGAATCTTACTGCTGAAGTTAGCTTCCGAGGCATACATATATTCAAGGCAGGCAAGCAAAGAATCCCGCGTACTCTACAGACTTTGAATTTGAACAATGGCCACTTACTTCTTGAACAGTGTACAGATATCACAAGCCAGACAAAGATGTGATGACGAGATCACCACATAGTACGCCAGACGCTAGGATTCTGTTCAGCAAATCGCGGCCATAACAAGACCAAAGACAACACGAGACTGGAAAGAATCAAGTGTTGTGTAGTCGCCAAAGCTCGAGAACAATTGTTCAAATGGCCCCGATCTCAGCCGGTCCAACCGCGTTTGTCCGACCAGGACAACAAGATTTAAAAATAAGATGATGCAAATAGTTCCAGTTGATTATGCACTTTGCAAACAACAGGCGCGTCGTCGAGTGACCGGCTCAGTTGAGTAAATGATGCCAACGGTATTTTGTTCTCGTCCCACGGAGCCAAATGCGTTCGGTTCGAAGAGAGCGAAGGAAGACGGTGCAAAAACAAGAATCCGTGACAATGCGTAAGATGTATTTGGGGGGACAAGAAAGCGAGTGGAAGAGTTGAGACAGCGAGGGTAAGAAAAGAGCCAAAGAAGGCAAAAAGCAAGCAAGAACAAATGCAGCAACAACCCAAAAACAGTCCAAGCTTGGGAACGCAGGCTAAAAGGGCTCGACGACCACGACGAAGGTATTAGTTCGGAGTCGAGGTCATGTGCATGTGTCGGGCTTGTTTAAGTCGTCTTCGTCTTGGACGGAAGCGTGCAATTGCTCTGGTTTGGTTGTGGACAAAGACGACGCATGTGTGAATAGGCGACTGAGCTAGTGTGTCGCCAGGCGTCCGGTCGCGGTTCACGACAGGAATGTTGAATGTCGCAAACAGGGAGGGGGGAGTGGCTCAAATGTTGACGGAGGGACACGGCAATCAAAGCAGACGGAAATTACAATCCAAGTCCCGAGCCAGCCAGATGCAATTGGAAGCAAGAAATGCAACCTGGTAATAGAGAGGGCAAGAGGTTTGAAAAGGCGAGCGAGGTTGATGGCCAGAGAGATGCACGTAGAAGTGGAAGTGGAGTCTGGTGGTAGAGGGTCGACGGTGCAGGCATCAAGGCGAAGAGGGAAAGACCATGGATGGGCAAATCGCCATAGTCCACCGAGCATGGACTGGACATGGGTTCTCGAGTGAAGGCGATTTGAGGTGTGAGGAATACTTGAGACTTGGGCAACTGACGGAGGGTGTGCGGGCATCTGGAAGACGACATCTGGATGGACAGCTACGATCAAGGAACTATAGTATAGTATGTAGTATTACGACCGGACATGGAGGACAGCTTGGCTTCCCTCCAGTGACAGAGGCGGCAACCACGACCGACAGCGAGTCTGGTGTTTGGGAAGGGCATAGGGGGGCGTGTATCCAGCCAGCACCTCGAAACAATGTGCCTCCGCCGAAAGCAAACACGTCGCCTCTCGACCAGCCAAGCTTGACGAGCGTGATGACAGATGCACAGGCAGAGCGACGATTGCCATCAATTCATATGTATCCACAGTCACCCAGCACCCGGCGGGGACAAAACGGAGACCTGACGGGGACTCGACCAGGGCATGATCCAAGTTCAAGCGCTGATTGTCCAGCGC